AATTGATCGATTTCGACTAAAGAAAAAATTACTTGTCCATATTCAATTGTAACTGGTATAATCAAACAATGTTCCATAAATAATTCAGACATTTAACAAACAACCACCTAATACTTTTAAATAATTTATTTTAAAAAAATTGTAAACCTTCATTTTTTAAACTGCTAATACTATAATGTAGTTTTGGTTCCCTGATATGAAATTGAATTAAATGTATCGATTATTCTTTAGTGTTTGTATATATTGATTATTCTGTCACAATGGTGAATGGCAATTTTGTTGTAATAGTTTTTAGTAAATTAAACGTGATGATGGATGTTATGATAGAATGATTATTCCATTTGACTTCATTTCAATAAACCAAACATAATTTAAGACTGAAATAATTAACCAAACATAACTTCAGATTGAAATTATTTTGGGACCCTATTTTTTTTCCCCGCCCCAATTATTTTTATTAAATATATTTATATGTGTCTAAAATACATAATTTATTTTTTTTCATTATAATAAAGTTAAAATACTAAAATATTATACTTCATATTAATTTTTATTTATTTATTTTCATATAATATAATTCTCATTAAGTATAAATTATTATTTATAACATACTAAATTATCTATAATTTTTATTAATGTTTTTATTTTTTAACTTAAAAAATTAACTCGTCTCCTGTCCCGCATGCCCCCGCTTCTGTCACCTTTAATTTACCCTGCCCCTGATATGATACGGGACGAGGGTAAATTTCTATAAACCTGATTCAAACCTGACCCGTGACCATCTGCCTTACCTCAGGATTGGCCCTGATGGTGTACTACTTACATACCAAGGACATTCATGCAACAACCACATTTCATATCTAAACATATATTGAGACTTTGTTTGGTATGCATAAAAATAACACATGTTATTTTAATATATTATTTATTTGAGTCATAATTATCTTATTTTGATCATATCACTTCTCTATCACATCACTTTAATCTCAATTTATATTTTATATTTTTTCATAAATAGTCAAAAAAATATACTAATCTAACACTTCTTAAATAACTCCTGAACATTAGGGTGATATTATATGACTGTATCATTAATTAATAAAAAAGGAAAATATTAATATCACTAACCAATTATGATAGCGACAACTATAGTGTTGGTTTTGTTGCATGTATGTCTTTGATATGTAAGTAGTACCTCATCTAATAATGCATGTATTTATTTTTCTTCTGAAATAGGAGGGACAGGAACGAGTTTAATTAAGGGAATAACTTCTTTCCATTTTGAATTAGATTGGAGCATATTATTAGATTTTGCGGGCTTATTACAGAATTTACATTGATAATTCAAATTGTTCAATATGTAGACCTCGTTGAGTACTTTACACCTGCAAAAAATTACTTTAATTGGATATTGATAGTCACTTGATCAGATCAAATTTGTGTCAACAGTAACAGTGATTTTAAAAATAAATTGTTAATACAAATGTGGGGGATCAAGTAGTTATCGATATTCGATCAATGTGATTTTTTACAAGAATAAAGTATTCAACGAGTTTTATACATTCAGCGGTTCAAATTATCGATTTGGGTTTCGTGGTGGATCCATGGAGGCCCAACAGCAAAGTCCAGTTGAGAAACCCAATTGAAAATAAGCCTGAGCCTTTAATTAATTAGATAATGTGTAAAATATATATATATAGTTTTATTTTTTTAAATACAATAAAATTAAAATATTAAAATATCCTAGTTAATATTTATTTATTATCATAAACGTTTTAACTCTTCTTTAAATATCAAATTATCTCTAATTTTTATTAATATTCCTAAAGTTACATTATTAACCTGCTCCTGTCCTACTCTGTGATTTCCGTCATTTGCTTTCCACTTCTAATATAATACAGAATGAAAGCAGAACATTACAAACACATCTTATTATTCTACCTAATTAAAAACTTCAGAGAGGGAATAAATTTGAGGGCGACCAATGTCACCCGATTAGAGTGGTGGGGTGGTTGGACAGTTGATTCGAAGCTTCATTGTTTATGACATGTACTTGTACACCAAATTAAGGGTACCCCAATTAAAGTGCCATCTGGTATGAAAGCATGACTTGCTGCTGAAGTTTGTTCATCGTAGCCTCACTTATGAAATTTTTCTGCGTCTCTTCAATTTAATGAGCCTCAATTGTTAGTGTCAATCAATCTTTCTTTTTTTTTATCGGCAAGTGTCAATCAATCTTAATCGAACAATAATGAACGATTTGAAATAAAGAGATAAAAATATAACTAAAAAAAATCTCAACACATTTAAAAATATATATAGGGTAACTTATACTTCAGATTCTTAAAACTTTATGTTATATCCTATATTTTTAGTGAAATTCCAATGCCTCATCTCTTTCGATTACTGTTAGATAAATTGATAAAAATAATCTTTATGTCAATATCAAAATTAAACCACGTGGCGCAAAATGATAATTTATGATATATATATATATATATATATTTAAATTTTATATTGGATATGGAGGGAAGGGGGGACATTGGAACAACTGGACTGAGCCACAACCAAGAAAGAAGCTTATTCAAGGTTAACAGGACACTTGGTTCTCATTTATTATCTATGCTCATCATCGCCAACCAAATTCCTTGCTTCCCAACTGCTTTTCTTTATCAAAGATAAGGGTTCGTTTGGGAACTAAGTTGATTTTTTGGCTTTTTGGCATTTTAGTTATTTTAGCATGGGGCTAAAGAGTCTCGTTTGATAATGATTTTTTGGTTTTTTTAACTTTTTGTGAGATAAAGAATGTAATAATTATGAGTTGAATGTGATATTTTGTCTTATAGAGCTAAAATAGCTTATTTTGTCTTATATAGCTATTTTAGCCCAAACCTTCCTTCCCAAACGGAGGCTAAATATGGTTGGTTTAGATAAACACACTTCAATCTACTCACCTAATGGTCTAGATTTTTCTTAAAAAAAGAAAATAAATAAATAAAAATCTTTAGCAGTTATTGTGGTTCTAACATATATATTTTTATTAATGTATAATATAATATAGCAATAAAGCCTAACAAATTACAACCGCGAGAGAGAAAATCTCAACCAAATATATTGATAAATAAAATTCATATGTAAGTGAAGAGATTTAATCACTGATATTCTAATAACGTGTAGTGATTCTGATCAATGAACTAATCTTGTTGCTGATTATTATGGTTCTAATATTCATTTGTTAGTAATTTGGATATCAATAAAATGATCAAGTCAATAATTTTAGTTCTCATAACTTCGTTCACATGCCATATGTTTGGCAGCAGTAAAAGGAAAGTAACGTTTTTTTTTTCAAGCTTTTTTTTTTTTTTTAATATTCTTTTAGATTTGTATAAAATTTTGAAAGGTTTTAAAAAGTAATTTTTTTTTTTAAATTCAAAAAATTTGCCAATTTTGTTTTTCAAAATCTTTATTTTATTTTTTACTTTTCGGATATTTTTGGCGTAGTAAAATCTAGGATTGTAAAGTTTTTCAAAAAAAAATTTACAAAAAAAAAAAATAAATAAAAATAAGAACGAAAAAAAATTAGACAAAAAAATTATTAAAATTGCAATTACCAAACCCCAGTTCACAGTGGATACCACTAGTTTAGTTAATATAAATCTATCAATATCCCTAACTAATTCACAATTATGTCATTTAAGTTTCAACACATCACGTCATACTCTCGATATGGTTAGACAATGGAAATGTTTAAGTTTTCTAATAAAATTTTCACAATTTTCACCTACAATGATGTGGAATGATAAGTGATAATTTTTGATTTGTCATTTATTTAATGGGAGAGACTTCTCTTCAGTCTACTGTGTGGACTAGAGTAGACTGTTAGGCTTGTGAAGCCCACCACAAGTCTCATTTTGACGATCTAAACCGTTTAATGTGTAAAGCTCGTCGAGTTCTTTATACTTACAAAAAAATCACGTTGATCGATTATCGGTAATTCCTTGATTGGAACACATTTTTGTTAATAATTTATTTTTAAAATCATATTTACCATTGACAAAAATATGCTTTAATCAAGAGACTACCGATATCCAATCAATGTGATTTTTTGCAAATACAAAGTACTCAATGAGTTTTACACATTACGATTCAGATTATCGAAATGCGACTCATGGTGGACTCCATAGGTCCAACAGTACACTCCAGTCCACATAATAGACTGAAGAAAGGCCTCTTCTATATTCAATTATGTGAGACTCTACTTTCTTACTACATCATTAAGAGTGTATTTAGAAATCTAAAATGTGGCTTCTAGAGCATCTCCAACCCACTAGGCATATCATGTTTGTTAGTCAAAATGCCTAGTATAACTCATTTTTTTCAACTCCAATGCACTAAGCATATGATTAGGCATTTTAGCTCAACTGACATTCACTAGCTACATGTAGCTAGCCTTCAAGACTAGGCAAAATATATTTAATCATTAGGATCATTTCCCTCCATCTTTATTGCTGATGTGGCATTTTATAAAATTAATAGTATTTAGATGAATAGCTAAAATAAAGAGCATGGTTGGAGTAGAAACATGAAATAGTTGATAGGTAAAATAAAATATATACTTTATAGTAATATTTAGATAGGTAAAATGCCTATTACCGTTGGAGATGCTTTACTCATTTTACAATAATGAGATTTATATCAATCTCTCCAAATTTAAAACTATGCTGAAACCAATAATAAATGTGCATGCTGTATATGACAAATTTTAGGCGTCTTCAATATATACCATAGAACCTTAAATAAATCGAAAAATTCCATGCAAGTGGCAGTGTTAAAAAAATTACATTTTTATGGTAGTATAATTTTTCTATGTACATGATACTAATTTATTTTTGTGTTACGTGTAACTTTCATGTGCGTCAGAGTTACTTAAATAAATAAATAAATAAATAAATCTCATTTGTAATACAATTATTATATAACAGTCTCAGATATTTATAATTTTTCCTAAATAAACCACCATCCCCCCAAACCCCACTTGCCTAGGCATTTTTCTTTTCATTTACTCCATATAGATCTTCATATCTTCAGATCTCATCAAACTGAGACAATCTCTCTCCCAAGCATCCCATAGAGCAAAAAAGCCAAAATGTTCAGTCTTGGCCACGATCATCATCTTCCCCAGAAGTCCTTCCAAATTAAGCAGGATGACAAGTTCTTCTCTAGGCTTCTTTCCAAAGAAACCTCATCATCAAAAGCTGAAGCATCTTGCAGAGTCCTCTACTATGGAGGAGCTTGTGGTTCAGTACCATTCATGTGGGAGTCTCAGCCAGGTACCCCTAAAAACCCATTATCTGACACTTCTCTGCCTCCTCTTACTCCTCCACCTTCCTATAAATTCAGTCCTAAACCCAAAACCAAGTCCATGCAAAAGCCTTCAAAACCAAGTTTTCTCTTCACCATTTTCTCTAGAAAAAGCATTGCCTCCAAGAAAGATCATGTGTCACCGCCATCGTTGTCGTCATCTTCCATATCATCGTCGTACTCATCGGAATCATTTTCATCTCCATCCATTCCCATGATGAATCATCGTCGATCGACAGTCCATTTTGGAGCTGATGATGGTGATGAAGATCAGAACGGATCTCCTACCTCAATTTTGTGCTGTGGTGTTAGAAATGGATTTTCCAAGGAGTTTCGCGGTAGCCGGTCCAAAGTGAACATCAAGTACCCATTGTAAAACAAAATGTGACTAACATAGAAGAAAATCACAGAATGAAACACATACGCTAATACGTCTTCGAGCCTCATACAAACATATTAGTGTTTGGGTCTGTGATTTGTTTATGTGTTGGAAGCATTGGTGTGCATTGGAAACCATGGTGCATGTGGCTTGAAACTTGAAATTTCCTCCACGACGTGGATTTTTGTACATTATATAGCATCTTGATTAGTGTTTATGGGTCAACGTTTTGTGTTGGCTTTGGATACCAAAACTACTAAGGGAACAAGAACATTTGTTGCGATGATTCAAGTGCTTGTGTGAATGCAATCCGTAGTGTTCAATTTTCTAATTTTGTGCATTAATTGTCGATATGAATGAGTGTCATAAACATTTTCAGTCAATTATGTCCCAACTCCGCACATGCATGTAATTAATTAAAGAGTTTTACCTTATGGGCATAGAGAAGGACAGATATGTGAAGAATGTGAGACACAACTCACGATATTTTTTTATTTATTCCATAAACAGTTTAAACAATTTTGATATTTTTTTGGAAATTCGATAATTTTTCTGCTCTTCCTTATCTCCATTCTCTTTTTTAAAACCTGTTTCTTGTACGGGATTAGAAGTTAGAGAGATAAATCTTGTCATAGAAAAGGTTTGGAACAAAAGGACATGAAATAATAGAATTGAGAATCCTCAACCATTTCCATGGCACCTTAATTATCCCAGCTCACTGCTTCGATTGGAAGGTCAAATTTAGCAAATTGTGGGCCTATTTGGGTCTACCTGATAATTTATATCGTTTAATTTCAGAATTTTTCAATTGGATCAAAAATCAAATTAATTAGATATTGATGGCTGCATATTTGAACTATATTATTTTCTAAAAGATTGAACGACAAGCATAATATCTAAAATAAACCAACTATTTTATTAAAACAAATATAATTTAAACATATAATTATCAATATCAAATCAACTTAAATTTTTCCACAAATAATTTATTTAAGAACTACTGAAAATAGGACGATTGAAATTATTAAAGTAGATCTACAAATAGACCATAATACACCAAACTCGACACTTATTCCAATGTTTGGATGGGAAGGAAGCCAATTTCCTACCGAGGGTGTTTTGGCAAGTACTTAAATAGTTAAAAAATTATTATTAAAAAATTAATTTTATTCTCTACATTTTTATACATCTTTTCATAAAAAAAAATTAAAAAAATAATTAATTTCCAAAACAACAATCTACTTATGAGCATGCCTTAGATATTGGTAAGATATGCAATAAATAAACAAAAGTATAATAATAAATATAATTGTATTTCATTTGACCTGTACTCAAATGGTTGCCGTAGCGTGTAGGCTCAACCAGGGTTGGTGGGAGAGCAAAATCAGTAACGAGGCATTAATTACTTTAGGACTTATCAGTACGGTCGAACCTATTTAACTAAAGCCCAAGTCATAAATAAACACTGGCTAACCTTCAGTCTCTAGTGATTTAGGCCCAAGAAATGATGACGATTTCACTATTATAGTTTCAGATCGGCCCAAAGGTTCACAACTATAGAACAAAATTTATTCGTCCTCCGGCAAAGATGGATTTGGAATAGCTGATATGCGGGCTGCATAGAAATTATTGTTATGCAGTTAAATAGATCTATTTCGAAATTTATTTTGATAATGTGAATCGTTTATATTTTAGAATATATCAAGTAGAACATATCTGTAAAATATCAAATTAATTGGATATCGTTTACTCGTTTATCTATTCACATTTGTATTCATTTTAATACTTTAAATAATAAGGGCAAATTACAGTAACAGTCCCTATAGTTTGGGACTCGTATTATTTTAGTTCCTGACTTTTCAATTGTCACACATTTCACATTGAATTTTGAATCTTGTTTCAAATAAGGACAATTGAATATATCATTGTTTAATTTCGAGGACAAAATCGTCAATTTAATAAAATATAAATTAATTTGACAAAAATAAATGTCAAAAAAATATTTTTAATTTTTAAAAATTTATTTTTATCCACCAGTGATAAAATTAATAAAAATTACATGATTAATTTTTAAAAATTAATTTTACAAGATCATTATCCAAACACATAATAAAAATTAATTTAGTAAAAAAATAAATAAATGTCTAAAAGATTTATCAATTTTATATAATTTTATTTTTAGTGAGTAGAAATAATTTTAAAAAATTCAAAAATATTTGTTTGACATTTATTTTTGTTAAATTAATTTATATTTTATCAAATTGACGATTTTACCCTTGAAAAATCTAATGATATCTTCAATTGTCCTTATTTGGAACAGCATAGAAATTATTGTTATGCAGTTAAATGGATCTATTTTAGGATTTATTTTGATAATGTGAATGTTTATATTTTAGAATATATCAAGTAGAACATATCTGTAAAATATCAAATTAATTGGATATCGTTTACTCGTTTATCTATTCACATTTGTATTCATTTTAATACTTTAAATAATAAGGACAAATTACAGTAACAGTCCCTATAGTTTGGGACTCGCGTTATTTTAGTTCCTGACTTTTCAATTGTCACACATTTGATCTTGAATTTTGAATCTTGTTTCAAATAAGGACAATTGAATATATCATTGTTTAATTTCGAGGACAAAATCGTCAATTTAATAAAATATAAACTAATTTGACAAAAATAAATGTCAAAAAAATATTTTTAATTTTTAAAAATTTATTTTTATCCACCAATGATAAAATTAATAAAAATTACATGATTAATTTTTAAAAATTAATTTTACAAGATCATTATCCAAACACATAATAAAAATTAATGTAGTAAAAAAATAAATAAATGTCTAAAAGATTTATCAATTTTATATAATTTTATTTTTAGTGAGTAGAAATAATTTTAAAAAATTCAAAAATATTTGTTTGACATTTATTTTTGTTAAATTAATTTATATTTTATCAAATTGACGATTTTACCCTTGAAAAATCTAATGATATCTTCAATTGTCCTTATTTGGAACAAGATTCAAAACTCAGGATCAAAAGTGTCAGAATTGAAAAGTTAAGGACCAAAGTGACACAAACCCCAAACTATAGGGACTATTAGTGTAATTCACCCAAACAACAATTATTATTTATTTTTGTAGATATAAATGTGAGTGGATGAATGAGTAAATGATATCTGACTAACTTGATTTTTTACAAGTATGTTCTACTTGATATATTTTAAAATATGAACAGTTCGGATTATCAAAATGAGTCCCGAAATGAGCCTATTTGACTGTTTAACAATAGTTGTTGTGCACTCCCACACAACAACCGCCCCAAATCCGGCAAAGACACGCGGTATCCTAACTTGCTTTTATTAAGGAAAAAATATAAATTCCTGGGACAATTGTAATTATGATTTTTTTGTTTTTATCTTTTTTGTACAATTCTAATACAGAGAAAAAATTTACACTAAACACCCGAATGAATTTATACTATACGCACAAGAAACTTACGCCACCATGAAAATAAAAATATTTTTCGACTGTTGCACTAAAAACCAATTTGCCTTTTTATTAGTTGAAATAGTATGATTCACTACTTTTATATCTTTTTTTAAGAGATAAGAGTACTAGTGTTACAAGGTTAATGGCCTAAAGCATCATTTCAAAATTACCAAGTAACTTCTGTAGAGGGTAAAGTTCAGTCCAAGAAAAGTACAAGCCCAAATAGGTCTGACTAGCTCAAATGAACAGAGGCCAAAACTAAGGGAATAGACCAACTTAATTGGGAATATCAAATGCAATCGGACTCAAATCACAAAGTGATCCATGGCACAAGGTTGATTGTTCAATCAAGGGAGATCTGACAGCCAACAACAGTTGCAAGTTGGCCACTTACTTTCAAAGTGATCACTGACACAAAGGTGATCGCTCGATCAAGGGAGATTCGACGGCCGATAACAATTGTAAGTTGGTTACTACCAAAGTGATCCCTAACAAAAGGTTGTGCATCTAATCAAGAGAGATTTGACGATCAATGTAACAACCCCGACCTATGATTAACGTTAATTCATGATTCCATGTGCCTAATAAGTCACTAAGATCAAATTTTGGATTTATTCCATATGTGTTGCATTATTTGTGTTTCTATCTGTTTATTGTAGGAATATCTGGTTGAGATTCTGTTATATTTTGCGAATTGAAGGCCCTATCGACATCTGATTCTGAAATTGATTTGATTTATGTGTTATGTGAAATTTATAGAATTTTATAGTAGGTTTAATTGAAATTCGATTTGAAACCATTAAATTATAATAATTTATGTCAATGTGATTAACCAAAGTCAATCTTAATTAAGCCACTTTAATTAAGCATATCTAAGGCTATTTAGACCTCCTTATTTTACTTTACACCCTCATTCCCTACTCCTTGAGCTCAAAAAGGTCTGAGAGAATGAGGGACCAAGAGTGAGAGAGAGTTGAGATCAACAAGAATTGTTTGAATTGGGAAGAATTAGCTTGGAATCTAGTGTGCTCACCATCTAGATCTTACTTGAGAGGTTGAGGTATGAATTCAACACTTAGATTATATAATTATGATGTTTAGCACATGAATTCATGAAGATTATGTTGAGTTAAGCAAGACTTGAGTTAAATAAGATGGTAGAAGGACCGTACCATGCATGTATGTTTATTCTTTTACAAATTGAGCATGATTTCCAAGAATTCCCTCATGCATGTCTTGAATTCACCTTGATTTTGGAAAATTATCAAGTTTTATGTTGTTTTATTGCATTTGATCATGTTTTGAGAAGCTCAAGATCAAGAAAATTCACGCATGTTATGTTCATGAAACATTCATAAAGTTTAAGTTGAATTTTTGAACAATTGGCATACTTTTAGGCCTTGAAATAATCTTCAAAGCATGATGTTTTGTGAGTTTCTAAGTGTTTTCCAGAATTTTGGGCCAAGCGGATAAGTTTTGAAGTGTTTAGTTTGAGTTTGAAGCTTAAAGATCAAATCTGGAAATTCCAGAATTTGAATCTATGCTCGAGCGTAGGAGTTCACGCTCGAACAAAGCACTCTGAATGCGTGCACTTTCGCTCGAGTGACATGATACCCGCTCGAGCGTGAAATGCATGTATCCAGAAGTTCATGTATTTTGCAATACGCTTGAGCGACAGAAGTCACGCTCGAGCGAGGGCCTGAGCCTCACGCTCAAGTGGAGATCGAGCGTCCGTCGAGCGTAAAAAATAAGCAACCAGTACTTTTTCAGAGTGTACAGTCCGCTCGAGCTAAGAAAGTCACGCTTAAGCGAACCCTCACTTTTTGCATGTCCGCTTG